TAGTTTAAAACATATTAAAGGAGATGTAAGTCTGGGCCGGCGCATGAATATTTAAAGCTCACATTACGCGGAGAACTATCGGAAGGAGAAGGGGTGGGAAAGCCAACAGTTCATCGTATAAATATTGATGGAAATAAAACGTCCTCCGTATAAACTTTCTCTAGCAAATTAAGATTTTACTATTTACACATTACGGTATTGTTAAATTTAAAAGGAACTCTAAGAAGAAATAAACTGATTTACACTCGTTCTCAATGTTAATCAATGCCAGGAAATCTTTCCAATGCCCCGTTTTGAATTCTTAGGTAATAGTGGATTGCTGGGAAGTGTAGGCAAATTGTAAATACAACTGACAGCCCGTTTTCCATAGTCACATATTGCGAATGTAACTCCAAGAGAGTAAATTTTATTTCAAAATTCTCCAAAAATAGTCTTCAAACCTCGTCTCTGTGCATATGTATACGGCATACACTTAACGTCAGCCATGTGTACCTGTGCACTGGAAACCAATAGTGGAACTGAGTTTAATTACTGGATTGAGTTGAAATGAACCCATGCAAACGACCCAGGTCTGCCCTCTTTGAGGCTTCTCTCTATAACGCTTTTAATTAAAGCAAGAAAAGGAGTAAAGTAAGGCAACAATAGCGATAATCCACCATGAGCACCAGGTTCCCCAACACAGCCCCACCGTTATTTTCCACCGCTACCCGACTATTTCTGGGTGGCGAGTCGCCAACACATGGTGCTACCAGCAGCCAGACCTCGAAGCCCTTTATACGGATAGGATCCCATTGGCACCAGAACTGGGCGTTTTGACCCAAACCATTCCTCAGCCCCTTTCTGCCGCCGGCGCCGCTAGAAAACTTGCGGCGGCGACTGGCCTGTGTTACGTGCTTTTTGCGCTCCGCGCCCCGGGAGTTGCCAGCGGAGAGGTGCCCCCATCCACCCGAGCGCCGCCCCTAGGCAAGCCCCAAGCTTATACCGCGAGGGACCCACTCGCCGCGCCTCGGCGTCCACCCTCAATCCTGACACCCTCCAGGCCCCGGCAAACGAAGCAGGGCGGAGCTGGGCATTAGGGGCGCCGCCTGCGGAAGGTGCGGTGCCACGTGCGCGCTGCAAGGACCCCGAATCCTGCAAGTCCAGCTGCGGCCTCAGCTGCTCCCAGAACTGGGCCCCCAGCTTTAGGGCGGGGCCTCCTCCTCGCCTCTAGCCTGGACGTCGGCTCCCACCCACTCTCAGCGAAGGCCCCAGCCCAGAGCCCCAGGGTCAGAGTCGTTCCCCGCGCCTTCTCACAGGACTCGCCCAGAGCGAGGCCCAGCGGCGGACCCCTCTGGTCCAACCTTTGCTGGATTCCGGGCTGGGGATCTCGGGGGGCGCTGGGTCGGAGCCGAGCCCCAGTCCCGGCACCACAAGCCCTGGAGTCCTCGGGCGTTTCCTGGCCGAGCGGAAGAGCCCGAGCTAAGCTCCTCTCCTCCCGACGTCGGCCTCCCCCTCCCTAGACTGCAGCGTCTTAGCTGGAGGGAAGCTCACAGCGTGCCTAGGCCAACCCCTTCTGCGACTCTTTTCTTTTCCTGTCACTCTCTGTTCTCGGTTTCTGCTTTCTCCCTCTTACAGAATACCAGAGCGCGCGGGGGCCGGAGAAGCCTCCACACCAGCCCCTTTCCGGGGCCTCCAATCTGCCCTTCCCCACAGTCTCGTCTCTCCCTCGACATATTTCTGTCTCTGTAGATTCTCCCCGCATTTCCCTGCAGGTTCAACCAGCGTGTCTCTCTGCCTCTCTAAATCTGCCTCTCCCTTTCTCCCTGGTGTAGCATTAAACAAATCCAGGTGTATCGAGGTTCGAGAAATGCCGGCATCGTGGATAGAAAGAATGCCTTATTCTGTCCTTGCAACATTTCCGGTCACTACAGTTTTGCTTCCCCTTGAGATGGTGCCAGTGCCGGTACCGCCTTGTAGGCCCCAGCTACCGAGGCGCCGGCTCGCTCTCTCTCGCTCTCTAGCTGTGTATGCTTATGTTCGAGTGTGGATTTATGTGTCTGTGTTTGTAAACCAGGGCAGGCTCTCCAAACCGAAAGCTGAGCGGAGTTGGGTTTCTAGGATTACAGGGCTGCGGGCAAGTGAGGTGGGGGACTTTTCGGGGGTCCCGACGCCCATCTGCGCCTAGACTCCACGCGTCCCTAGCCCCCCGCCAAGTAGCTCTAGGGCCGAAGCTTCAATTCCGCATTGTCCGAAGAGGTTCTCCACCTGCTCCGCCGCGGGGATCCGCCCCTCGGTTCAACGCGGCTGGAGTCAGGGAGGTCCGAATCAAGCTGGCCAGACGCAAGGGGAGATCGACCCACAGCTGACAGGGTGCGCAAGAGAACGGCGGTTGGGTCTGGGTACCCCGCGGTGGTGGTGGTGGGGGTGTCTCTGTGAATTCTGAGCCTGGCACTGGTGCCGCACGACCCGCAGGGTTATGACTAGGGGGCGGGCGCCCCCTCGGGAAAGCACATTTGTTTCTCGTTGGTCTGGAGCGCGCAGAGTACGACGCGGCTGCGACGGGGTCGGATAATTCAGAGCACCGTGAACCCGTCATTTTTGATGCTTGGCCTAATCCTCTGCCCTTCCTGGGTGCAGACAGTAACGGAGTAGTGCCCGGTGTCTCCTCCTTAAGCCAAAAGCCCTACAAAGCCAAAACACACAGGCAAAACTCCCCAAAGCATCTCACAAACACAAAAACTAAAGCCAACACACGAAAACGTACACCAAAACCCCCATCCAAACGCTCGGCGCGTAAAAACAAAATAAAACCCGAAGAAAACAAAACACATACAAACACAAGATTCACCTAACGCAAAACACGCAGACGACACCCACTAATACAAAATCCAACGCATCAAAACACCGCGCAGATGCAACAGCCTTCCAGAGGACACACAAAAAGACAATCTCCAAGGACAAAGTACAAAACACATAAAATTAAAATCCACAAGACAGAAAACAAAAGCCACCGAAAAGACCAAGACTCACAGAGCCAAACCCTCTAAAATGAAATCCACGAAAAAAATACACGCGAAACACCCGAAACAAAAGACTCATAGATAATGAAAAGAAAATTCACGGGAAACAAACAAAAACAAAACAAACCCTCTAAATAGAAAACAACCCCAACAACTCCCGCCCCCAGCCTGGGGTGAAATGTCAATTCCGGGAGGGCTTTTGATCTCTGGGCGCGGACAGGCCGCTCCTCCTCGGCTCTGCCACCCCGTGCGGGATAGGCAAGAGGGCGGGAAGCAGGGGCTGGGGCTGGATAGCGGAAGGAAGAATCGAGCTCTCGGAGAGGGCCAAAAATCGAATCGCCCGGGCCAGGACCCGGACTCGAAGGCTGCAAGAAGGAGGAGGCGCAGGGGGACTGCGCGGATTACTTGGTGGGGGGGCCGCCAAGGAATCCACAGCCACGTTTCCGATTGTGGCGAAATCGGCTCAGTGGATAAGAGATGTCCGGTTCCCGCCAGCTTCCCCCACCCCCCTTTTCTCGAGCTCTGGGCTCTTCCCCCTAGGTTGCGGCCCAGCCTCGTGACCACCCCCTCCAAAAAACAAACAACACTCTCGCTGAGAACGATTCACTTTCCGAAACTGCCATTGTCCGGAGGGCCAAGAGTCCTCCCGCAGAGCGCTCCCCCTCCCTGGAGACCTTGCCCCTGCGACCACCCCACAGCGGGGCCCCACAGACATCCAGTGGCCAAGCCTTGCAGCTGGACTCGGGACTGGGGAGGGGGGTAAGAGAGTGAAGTTTTAAGCCTGGGCCGAAGAGAGCGGGCTGGACGTGCCACACCGCTGCCCCGTCTCTGTCGGGCTGATTTCCCCTCTGGAATCAAGTCCTCCGGCTCGGGCACGCAGCAACGCCTCGGGGCTTGAGGGCAAAGGGATTCCATTTATGGGCCGGGGTAAGGTGTCCAGGACTCCCGCCAATCTCCAAGACCTCCCGAGATGGTTCTGCTCGGCCCCGGCGCCCAAAGCGGAGGCCCGGATTTTATCTCCAGCATTTTACATATGCTCCGGGCCGGAATGGGACACGGTGTGGGGAGGGAGCTCTGGGACCAGCAGGCTGAGTGGGGACCTGGGGACTTTAGGGTTCTGGCACTACCCTAAAGTCAGGAACCCGGCAATGGTATTAGAGCTGCAAATTGGGGTGGGGGTGGGGGTGGGGTGGCTGAGAGCTCTGGGGGCGGGCGCCGCCCTAGGGGTGAGTCTGAGGAAACTGGAACGCCCCCCTCTATGCCTGGCGACACTACTTGCCTTTGCATCCCCTTCAAAAACACCTGCTGTGCAGGGTGGTTAATTTTTTAAAAAAACAAAAACCGGGCCTGCACCCGCCTACGCGGCGGGGCTTACGCCTAGAGGGTTCACCCGCCTCGCACACCCTGCACAGGGCCGCGACACCGAGACGCAGGGATTTGCAGAACGTGCGGCCACGAGGCCAGGGCTTCCCGCTTGCCTCCGGTCCTCACCTTCCCGTGGGCGCTCGGGGCTAGCGCCCGGCTCCGTTTAAAGCCTTCCTTCCCTCCCCCCAACCCCCTATAAAAGTCCAGGGCGGCGCGGCAGCGGCACTGCTGCTCTCCCGGACTCCCGCACTGCTCCGGCCCGGCCCGGCCCGGCCCGCCCCGTCTGGCCAGCTGGACAGGCCCGGCGGCACTGCGCGAACACCCTTTCCCTGCTCCGGCCCGCAGTGCGGGGCGGCACGCTGGGGGCGCGGTGTGTCTGGGGACATCTTGTGATGTTGGCGAGAACAGGACATGATCTCACATGGCGAGAAGCTCTTTAGTTCCTTAATCATTTCACGGTGCCTTCGGACGCTTTTTTTCCACCTAAAACGTTTAGTTTCAGCTCAGTGATCAGCTACCCCAGCTCGGCGGGGGAGCGGAAGGCTTGAATTATTCCGACCTGTAAGCGGTCCCTGGCACCAAAAAAAAAAAAAAGAAAGAAAGAAAGAAAGAAAAGAAAAGAAAGAAAGAAAAGAAAAAAAGAAAGAAGAAAAGGAAAAGAGAAAAGAAAAAAGAAACAAAAAAGTGGAAACTTTTTTCCCCTGTTAACTTCAAGTTCTGAAAAAATCAAAATGGATTTAGAGAAAAATTACCCGACTCCTCGGACCGGCAGGACAGGTAGGACCGCGATTCGGGCTCCAGGCGTGCTAATTCCAGGACCCAGCCAGCTCTGGTCCCCACGCACGTTGGTCCTGGGGGAGGGAATGAGCGACATTTTCTCAGGGGTTGACTGCGTGTGTCTGCCGCGCATTTGTATGTCTTTTCACCAATTTGTTCACACACTTCTGTATGAGCCCAAGTGTCTGTGAGTTTGTGTTTTTCTCTGTATCTGAATGTTTCTGTGAGTGACTATCTGGGGATCTAGAAGTTCGTTTGGGTCTGTGTGTTTACATAGGGGCTCAGAATGTGCATGAGTGACCCTGAGTTTGTATGTCCCCATATATGTATTTTCACAATGTGTGTGCCTAAGAATTTATGTGCCTGTGTATATATGTATCCTTATATTCATGAGTGTGTTAGTTCATGTTTACGCGTTGGTGGTTCTGGGTACTATACTCTGAGTATCCAAAATATGTGTCTGTGAGTATGTATGTATGTATGAGTATGTAATTTGGATAAGTGTCTGAGTGTGCTCCTTTAAGGGTCTGTGTCCACCTGTCATATCCCAAGTGCTTTTGGAAGTGAGAATGAGGGGGTCCCACCGGCCCCTCCATTTTTGGATGTCAGCAGCTGTTCACTGTGTCCATGTCAGCGTACACAAAAGTGCCTGCCTCGAGGCACAGAGATGGATCTAGGGCTGTGGGGGGTCTGCTGTGCTAAGCCTGTGAACAGTCAGGCTCAGGTCACATTCTGTTGGGAGAAACAGGAGTGGAGGTGTAATTTCAGGGCGTGCAGCCCCTCGGTGTGTGGTGTGCACTGCTTCACTCTGTGGGCACTGCTGAGCCTACCATTTGTATAAAACCATCTCCTGTGGCAGGCACAATCTTGGCAGGGGAGGGCAGGCAACCCACAGGCTAGTTGTGACATTTCTAGGGACCTCCAATCTGCCTTTGCTTTCATCTCGACAAGCCTTTGACAATGGTGTGTGTGTGTGTATTTTGTGCTCAGGTTTTATGTTGTGGGCGCTGCTCCAGTGGAGGAGAGCACAAGTGGGTGGACATGTGTGCCTGGCCTGGGCATCCATCTCTGGTCCCTGTATGCACATGGGTCTTCCTGGCACAGGGCCCGGTGTGCCACCCATAGGCCCAGGTAGTGGTTAGCAGAGTGTGTTTATATCTAAGAGGAGGTGGCAGGCAGTAGGAGGCCTCAGTCTGTCCTGAGATTAAAGATGAGTATAGGAGCCCCTTTTACGCATTAGGCCAAGTACACTAACCCCCACCCAAACACACTCCTGGCCCTGCTGGCAAGAATTATTCCACTTTCCTTATCCCTGTGGATCTTTGAGGCCTTACCTCCACCCCAGCCTTAAATACAGGTCAAAAAGCAGAGAGAGAGGGGTGGACTTATACTCCAAACCCAGGACAACTCTGGGTATAGATACATTTCCAGAATTGTAACAAGTGAGGACAGAAATTTAAGAGGTGGGGAATTAAAGAAGATTCCCCAGGGTAAACGTGCAAGAAAGGGAATCTGGAAACTCCCTCTGCTCCATCCCCATCTCCCCTCCCTGCTTGGCTCCTTTGGTAGGTGGGACTTCCAGAGATGCCATCATCAGATCCAGGACTAGGTGTTCTGTGTATGCTAGGAATGGGTCAGAGGCACATGAGGATCTAGGGGAGTGTCTGCCGGGTTGGTGTGACTGCCTTTCCCTTCGGAGAGCTGTCTACCAAGAATGTAATTCAGGGCGGTCGATGGGCTCTTTGATTAGTTCAATCGCCTGAATAATCGTTTAATCAATAAAGCATTTCATTCCTCAGTAAGGCGGACCTGGGTGGGGTTGGGGGGGGTCCTAGTCTGGCCAGAGTTTAAAAATCTGGAGAGCCACGCCCCCTCTTCTCCTTTGGGCTTGGGTAAGGGCCACCTGCCCTGGAAAGGGCAGAGCTCCCAGGTGACATTGCACTTCTGCCTGTCTGCACCTGCCTGGGCCCCAGCAGTGGGGAAGAGGAGAGCTGAGAAACTAGCTGGGCGGGGGGCATCCATGTCTGGTTTTAGGGGTTTTATGTGGGTTTCTCCCATCTCCCAACTTGGAGGCATTTTTTGAGCCACTTGACCTCCTTTTCCTTCCTTCAGAACTGTTTTCCACTCCCTCTCATGACCTCAGTTTCCCCATCTGTACAATGGGGAAGGAGTATATATACCATTTTGGCTCTAAGGCCAAGATTGGCTAAGGTCAGCCTTAAACACAGAGCCACTTAAGGATCCTCCTGTCTAGCCTCTTCATTGTGGTACCAAAAAGAAAAAAAAAAAACCCAAAAAACTGATACCCAGAGAGAGGGGCAGGGACTTGTCTGACATCATACAGCAAGGGGTACGGAGGGAGTAGGACCAAAAGGTGACTTCTCTGCCCTTAGACCCCCTCATTCTTGCTGGGAGAGGGGGTAGAGCCCCATCTCCCAAGAGCTCCCTTGGAGAAAAAGGACTATTGGCCAAGCTGTCTCAAGAAATCCAAGGCCAGGAAGGCCAGGAGATTTTTTTTTTTTTAAGATTTTATTTATTTGACAGAGATCACAAGTAGGCAGAGAGGCAGGTAGAGAGAGAGAGGAAGGGAAGCAGGCTCCCCGTTGAGCGGAGAGCCCTATGCGGGGCTCAATCCCAGGACCCTAAGATCATGACCTGAGCCAAAAGCAGAAGCTTTAATCCACTGAGCCACCCAGGCGTCCCAGGCCAGGAGATTTTGAACAGGGTCTGGGCATTGGCATCCAGTCCTGCAGCTCTGAAATGAGTGTGTTGGAATAACAATCCTCCCTAACCATGGATCTTCATCTTTGAGAACTTTGGGAGGACTCATCTCAGGGTTCTCCCCATTAGACATATAGGGAAGGAAAGCCCTAGAAGAAGGGGCTGGTAGTAGAAAGTCTTTGGAAGAAAGAAAGTGCCAGAGCCCCTGGCCTGCAGGGTGCACTGCTAGTGATAACAAAACCCACAAAGGCAGTTTACATGGTTCTCGAAAAATTTGTTTAAATTCTTCTATGTTTCCACCTACTTAAACGATGCCTACAGAAAGATCCTGATCCAGGTGCAGGAATTACACAGGAATTGACTCTGCCCAACTATCTATGTATCCTGGGTCAGTTGCTCTCTCTCTCTCTCTTTGGTCCTTTTAAAATGAGAGTCAGAGAGGGGGCACCTGGCTGGCTCAGTTGGTAGAGCATGGGACTCTTGATCTTGGGGTTGTGAGCTGGAGCCCCACGTTGGGTGTAGAGATTACAAAACAAAACCAACCCTTGGAAAAAAATAAAATAAAATAAAATGAGGGTTCCAAAGAGAGGACCTACCAAGTTAGGACTGTTTTGGCAGCAGCGTCTCTGATTCTCCCAAACTGAGCACCTAATCTGATCCCTGGAGGCCTTGCTTTCCACCCCCCCAACCCTCCACCAAGCAAGAGCAGGGATAGGGGCTGGAGGAGTCGATTTCAGGCCCCTAGAGCCCTGGAGCAGCCCCAACCCCCAGACACATCTGGAGGGGCGGACTTGGTGGAGAGAAAGGGGAGGCAAGGAGGGAGTGCGCTCTGAGTGAGAGCAGGTTGCTCACTGCAGATCAAGGTGGAGGTTCCTCTGGAGGTATTTTGGCTTCTCAATTAATTCTCAATGGGCTTTCTTTCAATAGCAGAGCTTTCAAAGGCAATTGGTCTTCTATAAATTGAGTTTCTTCCCGGATGGTTTCCTTTCCCAGTGTCTGCCTCCAGCGCTTAGCACAGGGCCCTGTCCAAAGTTGCGCGGTTGGGGGAAGGTAACCCAGTGACTGTTAAACACAGCAAGGCCCGACTGGGTTCAGCGCCAGGGCGTTAAGACCAGCTCCCTGCCAGTCTAGTCTGTCTCTGTTCGCTTGTCTCCTCGAGAGTCTCACTTAGACTTGTGGGCTCGTGAGCCGTGAGCTCTCGGAGGCAGGACTGCAGTGCGGAAGCCCCGCTCCATCAGGGAATCGCTGTGTGATCTCACACTAGTCATATTACTTCTGGGGGCCACTGTTTGGTGGCCTGTAAGACTGGGGTAGATGGCCAGGATAGCAGTTCTGGGGGTGCCTCTCGGCAATAGAAGTTCCCGGAAGATGGCCCTCTTGGAGGCTGGAGGCAGTGAGGAACTCCTAACTGAAGGAAAACTCCCTCTGTCCTGGGTACCTGTCGCCCCAACGGGCAGGCGCCCAATGCAGCCTTAAACCGCACACCCTCTGTTTGAAATGGGAATCTAAGCTACTCTTGCTCGGTTAATATCTGTGGTTCCATCCCACCCCGGCAGTACTCTGATTCGGTCCCAGCCCCACAGGTATCAGGAGGAAAACTGGTTTGTGCCCGTATATCCTACCTAACTGGATTCTTTATTTGGCAGCCCACACCCCCTCACTCTACCCCAGACTCCCAGCCATCCCAAGTGTGGCTCTGTAGAGGCTCTTCTGAGAGAGTTTCCCAGCCCACAGCCTTTCTACTACTTTAGATTTTCTATGTGACCTTGGACAAGGCCCTCCTTGGCTTCAGGATATGCATCTGTAAAATGGGGAAAGCATTGCCTCAGGGCCCTTTGCTGCTCTAAGACTTCAGAATTTGAGTTTCTAGGCCTGAAGTCAATGAGTGGGGCTGGAGGTGGAGGTGTCACTGGCTGCGTCCCTCAGGGAGTCCCCCCCCCCCAGTCTCTCCAGGAACGCTGAGCTGCCACATCAAATTCTAGTTACTTTTTATCCACTCTGCGCCCGCGGGGTGGAGAGAATGTGGGAACCCTAACTCATCCGGGTTCCTCTCTGCTTTTATGTTCTTCCTGCTTGAGGTGGAGGTGCAGTTGAGGGTATGGGGTAGGGAGGATGGGGGCCTGAGGATTGGGACCTGTCGGGTTCCAGACAAAGGAGAGAGAACGCAGCCACTCCACCCCAGTGCACACTGCAGCCTTCTGGGCCCCCAGAGGCCCTCCTGGAGCCGTTTAACACAGCTGTGCCCTGGAAGGGGTGGGGATGGTGTCAGCACCGGAAAC